GTGTGTGTGTGGACTGAGCGATGGCCCAGCGCTGTGGTGAAGGCCAGTACATGGACCGGCTGCTGCGAGAGTGTGTGTCCTGCAGTCTGGTGTGTCACAACAACCCTGTGGTTCTCACACGCTGCTCTGAATACTGCGGTGAGTTACACTGTGTGTGATTTTTAGCGGTATCTAGTGGTGAGCTTGTGAATTGCACCCAACAGAAGTTACGGTGGCCGACAGGAAGTGATGTCGTCGTCTGAGACTGCAGAGAGTAGCGTTAAGCAATGAGGATTCTTTACAAAGATACATTAAGAAATTAGGTTTACTTGATTATTCAGTAAAACGATGTTATTACGAATATTATTGTTACGTGTTCATCATTGTATCAGTGTTTTATTCGCTGACTTAGCTTCTTATCATGAAGAACAACATAGTGACGAAACGCGTTTGTCCCTTTAGGGCTCCTGTAGAGAGACCCGCGGTGTGTGTAGCTACTGTAGATAGAAATGGCTCTTTCTAAGGTGATAAATACATAACAGTTCATTATGTTAGGTCTTTATACACCACTGAAAACATAGTTATGTATATGATATTGCATTCTGTCAACAGATCCTCCTAAATATTACACAATGGACCTTTAAAGGGATAGTTCACCCAAAAATGTAAATTAGCCCTTGATTTACTCACACTGAACAAGTCGGTGTGTCTGACATTCTTCTTTCAGACGAACACAATCAGAGTTATGCGGCTGCCACAAGAGTAAGTGTGTGATGTAGATGTTGTATCGTCGCGGTTTAAACAAACATGGCTGTACAATAAACTGAAGCTCATCTTCTATTATATAGAAATCCTCTTTTCTCTTAAGAATGTCTAATTCACGAGCGGTGTTTTGATTCGCTCTTTCCTCTGCGCTCCTGTGCTCGTCATTACGTTGTGCGTCGGCCGGTTGTGTTATTCTTCCACCGTAAATCGATGCGTTCGGAAGCTAGTGATTATAGTTTATAAAGTTATAAATTTTTCTGACACAAATGCATGGCTTCACTTCTGAAGACCTTTATAGCTGGGTTTCAGTCACGTGATTATGATGACGCGCGGAATTCAGATGGAGGGCAGGGAAGTGAAGAGCGCAATGGACGAGATGGAGGAAAGTCCGTACTGTACTACTTTACACGCTATTACAAGAGAAAGATGTAAACAAAAAATCAAACATATGTTGGACGTGATCCTTACGTTATGAAGAGGTGCGATTTTCAACTGAATTGAAAGATTTTCCTGCCATCGAGGCGGTAGATATCAGCAACTACCTCGTCTTACAGACATACTTTGACTTTACAAAGTTCGTAAATGTTACACGTTACACAAACATAGCCACTTAAGTTGTATTAACTCACCATTGACGAAGTGATCACTGCACAAACGAGCATTTTCCCATTCGGCTCCTCCCGACCGCAGACGTAGGTTTGCAAGCCGTTTTTCCGGAGTTTTTCGGTCAATTTCTTTAATTTTCCCCCTTTATGAACAACAACTTTTGGTACACGATAAAAACTCCTCGTGGTTTGATCGATTTAAGTAACCATAAACGACGCAAAACATAGGCATTTTGAGTTTGTTATAGTGCTTTCTAAATACAGCAAATCACTTCCTGCCCTCCATTTGCATTTCGCGCCATGGCAACGCAGTGGCGTGACGTCATATGAAAACAAGCTATTAACCCCTGGAGTCGTGTGGAGCACTTTAATAATGGATAGATGCACTTTAATGATGGACAGATGCACTTTTATGATGGACAGATGCACTTTAATGATGGACAGATGCACTTTTATAATGGATAGATGCAGTTTTATAATGGACAGATTCACTTTTATGATGGACTTTTATGGTGGATAGATGGACTTTTATGATGGATAGATGCACTTTTATAATGGATAAATGGACTTTTATGATGGATAGATGCACTTTTATAATGGATAGATGGACTTTTATGATGGATAGATGCACTTTTATGACGGACAGATGCACTTTTATGATGGACAGATGCACTTTTATGATGGACAGATGCACTTTTATGATGGACAGATGCACTTTTATGATGGATAGATGCACTTTTATGATGGATAGATGGACTTTTATGATGGATAGATGCACTTTTATAATGAAAAGATGCACTTTTATGATGGATAGATGCACTTTTATAATGGATAGATGCACTTATATAATGGATAGATGCACTTTTATGATGGATAGATGGACTTTTATGATGGATAGATGCACTTATATAATGGATATATGCACTTTTATGATGGATAGATGGACTTTTATGATGGATAGATGCACTTTTATAATGAAAAGATGCACTTTTATGATGGATAGATGCACTTTTATAATGGATAGATGCACTTATATAATGGATAGATGCACTTTTATGATGGATAGATGCACTTTTATGATGGATAGATGCACTTTTATAATGAAAAGATGCACTTTTATGATGGATAGATGCACTTTTATAATGGATAGATGCACTTATATAATGGATAGATGCACTTTTATGATGGATAGATGGACTTTTATGATGGATAGATGCACTTTTATAATGGATAGATGCACTTATATAATGGATAGATGCACTTTTATGATGGATAGATGCACTTTTATGATGGATAGATGCACTTTTATAATGGATAGATGCACTTATATAATGGATAGATGCACTTTTATGATGGACAGATGCACTTTTATGATGGATAGATGCACTTTTATGATGGATAGATGCACTTTTATAATGAAAAGATGCACTTTTATGATGGATAGATGCACTTTTATAATGGATAGATGCACTTATATAATGGATAGATGCACTTTTATGATGGATAGATGGACTTTTATGATGGATAGATGCACTTTTATAATGAAAAGATGCACTTTTATGATGGATAGATGCACTTTTATGATGGATAGATGCACTTTTATAATGGAAAGATGCACTTGTTTGGTCTTCAAAACTTTCTCCAGCCATTCACGCCCATTATAAAGCCTGGAAGATCCAGGACATTTTTTTATGTAACTCAGATTGTGTTCGTCTGAAAGAAGACAGTCATAAACACCTAGGATGGCTTGAGGGTAAATTATGGGAAATTTTACATTTTTGGGTGAACTATCCCTTTTATGTAGGCTACTGAGATTTAACCAACTGGTAATATAAAGTTAAACACCAAAGAATCTACTTTATTTAGCTCCAAACCTGTTCAAACTACATTAAACAACACGCAGCGCTAGTTAAACAGCGGTTCAGCAGTATCGGGGGCTCGAGTGAAGATGTGTGATGATGTGAGCTGTTGTGTCGGCAGTGTCCTGGAGATGTAAAGCCGTGTCGGGTCAGTTCTACGACCGGCTGCTGAAGAAGTGTCTGAACTGCTCTGAGATCTGTGGCAGTCACCCGCCGGCCTGCTCAGACGCCTGCAAGAGTGAGTACAGCATGTGCATCCTTGCATTTCATTTCATTCTTTTATTTATTTGTATAGTGCATTTCACAATCATTTCAAAGCAGCTTTACAGAAAATGCATGAGTCCACATTGCAATTTAGAGTGATCTGTTATCAGGGGGAACTGTCTAAGTTATGCATTTCAGAAATATACAAAGTCACAGTTAGCGAAACATTTATTTCTTTAAACAATGTAATATTTTAATGGCGAAACATTGAGCTCATTGAAGTAATGAATACTTGTTTGTGTATATCCTCATGACTCACTGAGGAATGAGTCACGTGACCTTCAACCTCTCCGAGCTCTTATACATGACATTTTAGCTTTTAATTAAAATCTTTAAATTCTCAACTTTAAATTACTTTAAACTTTAAAGAACTTTAAATTTGGCATGAAGGGAATTTGCGCTGGTTTTTTCTCCTCTGTTGTCCTGTATATCCGAGTGACACGCTTCTGGACAAGAACAAATGTGGGCGGGGCTTGCTTGGATGGTTGTGGTTTGCTATTGGTGGATCTCATGTGAGTGACAGGTTGCCCCGCCCACATCATCAGAGAAGAGATAAATACTGCAATATTCCATTCAAAAATACCATTTTGATTTCATGGTGACTTTAAGCATTGGTAAACCCTGAAATGTGCCATTTTAAGTCGTCAAGGACTACGATTATAGGAGGCACATGAATTTAAAACAAACAATAATATGCACGGATAAAGAATTGTCAATTATGAATTCATAATGACTTAAACAGTTCAGAGGGGGTGTTAATAAAATAACTGAACTGTTGAAGTCATTATGAAATCAAAATTCATGTGCCTCCTATAATCTTAGTCCTTGATGACTTATAATGGCACATTTCAGGGTTTACCAATGCTTAAAGTCACCATGAGATCAAATTCTTTAAGGAATACTAAGAAAAAGGGATTTTTGTTGGAAAACTTACACTTATGAATGTGAAATGTGACTAATAAAACCAACAAATTAATTAGAAAAGCCCCTTATTTACACTGTTATCATACTTTAAATATCCAAAAATTACATTTTCAAAATGCAAAACAAAATTAAAGAGTACCTTTTCCTTAATAAACATAGATACCTCGTACCATAACTTTTCCACATGACTACAATGGCAGAAGATGTGGGGTATTGTTTCAAAAGAGCAAAAAGAGCAGCTTACATCTATGTCTTGAATTTGTGCATTATCTTGAAAGAGATTTCTTTGGTCTTGTTTGATAACAAAAAACTTATGAGGTAATAACCAAACACTTTCCCAATCAAGGGCATTGACAAATGTAGTCCAATAAGCAATAGAGCAAGATTTGGTGACTGCCTCCTTTCAAAATAGAAAAAAGAATAGATGTGTTATTTGTTTGTAGTGACGCCGGGTCCTGTGGGCGTGTCTGCAGTTCCTCCGGTCACCGGCAGGGGGCGCTCAGGGGTTCACACACACACACCCGCGCTGTTCTCAGAGGCGCTGCTGTTCTCACTGCTGGGGGTGTGTGTTACTGTCCTGCTGTTCACACTGACCACTGCGATCCTGATGCTGATCAGGAGAGCCAAACACCAGCAGGACACCAGCAAACAGCAGCACAACCAGCACAACCAGCACAACCAGCACGCACAGTCATCCAAAGGTCAATCTAACAACACTATTATGGGGACATTCTAGCGCGCCACGTGGCGTAATGTAGGCGAAGACTCAATAAACTCAGCAAACATCATACTAGTAAAGTATACCACACAGTAAAAAAAAAAATGTTGGGTTCATTTTTTAACCCAACCTTTGGGTTACACATATTGGGTCACTATGTTGGGTTATTTTCCACACAAAAAAATGTTGGGTCATTTTTAAAATCCTTGGGTAATTTCTAGTAATAACATGGGCTGTTGGGTTAAATACGTATGTTGTATGTACACTTGTGTGTTTGGAAATTACGTACACAACTATGCATATTTAAATTAAATTCTAGACTCCCCAAAATGTAGGTTGTAATTTAAAAATATATTTGCTGAGACATATTTATTGTTTTTTTATACGAATAAACAATCTGTATTTGGATACAAAGTGTATTTTATTTATTAAAAATAATGTCATAAATAAAATAAAAATAGTAAACTTAACTGTTGGGTTACTTTTCAACCCATCTGGCTTTTAACCCAATGCATTGGGTTAAAATAATCCACAATTGGGAAGGTGCTATACCACCCCATACTTGGGTTACTCGTTGGGTTATTTTTTAACCAACATTATTAACCCTCTGGGGTTCCTCATTTTAGACACACACTCAGGACCTTCGGGTCAAAAATGACCCGGAGGGCGGCATTAAGATACATTTTATTTGAGTAAAATCAATTAAATATATTTTTGTTCAATAATATTTTTTCTTTTCTTTTTGGGTGTTTTGAGATAATTTTATAATTTATAATTAATATTTATGCAATAATTAAGACCCATTTTTTCCCATCGAATATAATAGAAAATTTATATATAATTAAATATAATTAAATAATTAAATTTTATTAAAGCTGTATTTCATTTTAGAGTCAAGTCTAGACCTCATGAAAGCAATTTTTGAAATGAGATCGGAGCCATCTGGTGGACACACTGAGCATTTTTATCACGCAATAGCACATTTTTACCACTAGTGGATTTACAGCTCATAATAGAAACCTATGGTAGAAACACTCTAGTGATTTTTTCACATTTTTTTATTTTTTTTCAGGTTGTTGATTTGAATATATAATTACAGATTCTCAAAGACTATTTTTGTCATTTTTTTAAATTAAAAAAAATAATAATAATTTTTGGTTGGTGTAAATGGTAATTTGAAGTGGCAGTTTTACTTTATAATACAGTCAAACCTGAACATTGCATTATAAAGAGAACAAATGGAAAAATATTTGTCACCCATTGTTTTAAGAGATTCACCCCTTCACTGTTGTGTGCTTTTTTTCTGCATCCTGTCTGTTTTGTAGATTGTATGCACAAAAAAACTCTGTATTTTCACATTTTTGCCAATTTCCCATTCATTTCCTATGTACATTTTTGACCCGAAGACCCTGAGTGTGACTTTTTTTTTTTTTACGACCACTTAGACTTTTAAAATCCTTTCCCCAATTTTTTTGGGTGTTCATATACCAAGTACCAAAAAAGTCACCAAGTTTTGGACCATTCCGATGAAGCTACGATTTTTAACATTTTTTTATTTAAACGCTTCGGGTCATTTTTGACCCGAAGAACCCCAGAGGGTTAAGTGAGCATTTACAAAAAAATCAGATGAGCCCAGAATATGAACACAAAGCGTTTAATTACATGAAAAACCATGATCTGAAAACACGTAACGTGGCTTAATGTAATAAGGCGTGTTATTAAAAGACCAAACTCATAACATCATACTAATAAAGTATGCTATGTACAGAAAAATCAAAGAGCCCAGAATATGAACGTTGTGGAACGCGTTGGTTGAGATCATATTCTGGGCTCATCTGATTTTGTTGTACATATGGTTTATTAATAAGGTGTTTACTGAGTTTGGTCTTTTAATAACACTGTCTATACATTAAGCCATTAAGCGTTTTAGAATGTCCCCTTATCTAAACTACTCAAAACATATTCAGGATTTATGAAGACAGATTTATTCATTTTGTCTTATAACATTATTTTTAATATAAAATATGTTTATTTATTAACAATACTTCTTTACACTATTTATGCTGGGATCTAAAAAATATCAAATATGTGTTTTTATGTGCAGGGAAATAAGTGCAGTTTTTTTTAAATGCATTTTAATAAGAACAAAACATAATTTACATACAGGAGTAGCCTATACGAGTATATAACCAAACATGTCAGGGGGAAACAAAAGAAATGCATTGTACAGAAAAAAACTGTAGTTTTCCTTGCTTTTGTGTTTTTACATTTGGATATTGTTTCTAAATATATTTTAATATAAATTTAAAATTGTTAAAAATTTGGTGTTTTTTTATTCCATTTGACTTTATGCATATAGTAACGTAATGCAATGTATGCAACGATTATTCGCATCCAACATAAAAGTTTGTGTTTACATAATATATGTGTGTGTACTGTGTAAAATTATTTAGTATATAAATACACACACACACACATGTGTATATAATGTATACAGGCTATATGTATACATAATTTATATTATATATAAATATAAACAATTCTTAAACGTATAGGCCTACATGCATATGTGTGTATTTATATATACAAAATAATGTTACACAGTACACACACACATATATTATGTAAACACAAACTTTTATTTTGGATGCGATTAATTGTGGCCCAGCACTACTAATAATTAAATCAAAATATTTCTATCACCATCAAATGAAAAACATTTTTAGCATAACATCATCTTCTCCAGAGTTCGCATGAATCATGTGTTTCTGCTGTTTCAGATTCTCTGATGACTCGAGCTGCTGATGTGAACCAGGATCAGGATCAGGACAGATCGAGAGCCACAGAAACATGTGTCTACTGCTTCTCTGACCACACGGTGGCGCCACACACACACTATCAGCAGGCCGGAGAGAACAGCAGCACACACACACACACACATCATCCAGCGCTCACACACTCCGACAAGAGCCGGCCGTTCAGGATCATATGTTCTCCTACTCAAACAAGCATGTGATGAATACTAGTGTCCGATGCGAGTGTGAGGGAGAGGACGTTCGCACTCAAAAATTCCTATGGAAAATCAATGTAATTTTAGTTTTAATAAATGCTATTAATTAGAGCACAACATACTCTCTAAGCCAGCTTCATCTTGAAAGTAGCCTATAGCTTTCTCGGTCATTTTCTCCATAGATAGACGTGCAGAAAAATCTCGAACCATGAACAAAACCAACAGAATAACTCATAAATGACCATTTCTGATTCAAGGGCAAAACCTGGGCAAAACACACACACACACACACACAGTCCATACTTTGAAACGATTAACTAGGCTATAAATATTCCACATAAGAAAAAAAATCAAGCTCTGGTAATGATGCCAAAATTCAAAATTATGACACGCTAAATCGAAATTATAACATAAATCGAAATTAAGACTTAAAAAGTAAACTTGTGACATTAATTTGAAATTATGACATAAAAAGTCAAAATTAAGACTTAATCATGACACTAAAACAAATATCTATCTCTTTATCTAAAATTATGACATACATATTATGATTAATTAAAAAGTCAAAATTATGACGTTGACTTTTAAGTCATAATATTTACTTAAATGTGTCAATATCGATTTACTATACAATTTCTAATTTTAAGTCACAATTTCCATTAAAAAAAAAAAAGAGCTAATAACTTGGACTTTTAAAGTCACAATTATGACTTACCGCAGCGGAGCATGATTTTATTTTCATATGTGGCGGAAATGGCCTTCCATACAAGAGTGACATATTATCATATTATGATTATTATCATTATGTATGCGTATATTCCATAGACTGTAAAAGAAGGTAGATTCCAATTCGACCGCTCCAGACCTGGCCCGCCATCTTGGAACGGTCAGCGTGACGTCACTCACAGTAAAACGCTGCGTTCCAGAGGAGGTTAGAGTGCGCGGGAATATCCCAAGTTAAAGTTCCAGCTGGTTCCAGGCATTTTGACCATATGATGTCGCAACGACACAACAAGAGCATATCGTGTTTTTGTGTCAATTATCTAAATTCCCTAAGAAATGGGATAACCTTTACCTTTACCTTTCACAGTTGATAATGTGTTGGTTTGTGTTTTTATATGCAGTTACTCAATATTACAGGTTTGACTGGTACTTTTAAAAATGTTTTCAACTGTAGGCTTCTGTGGTAGCTGTTTAATGTCATGTTAGCTTACGGCTTCGTTTTGTTACATTGTGTTAGTTTAGCAAAATCATCTGCTGAAATCTATTGCAGATATAAAATCCATACATGCATGACCGTTTGCTTGCTTTGACTGTTCCAATATGGCGGACGGCTTACATATAGCGGCCCATCGAAACAGCTGCTAATGAGGCACGTTACTCTACACGACAGCTACGAAACACAATACCGTGTCTTGGAAACACATTTAATCGTTAAACAACATTGGAGCTCAACATATATCTGTATATTCTGTGGAGAAAACAAATATGATTTAATCTCCCCGAATCCTACTGTTGTGCAGTCACTACAGGGAAAGCATATATCCTAATATATATCACCATACTTCCACCCAATGATTAACGGTTAATCATTAACCACTGTACATTATGACAACTGTTTTGCATCACAAGTTTTCTGAAATATTGTTTAAATATGCAAATGAGGTATTATCCAACTAAATATGCAGTAATTTGCAAACATTTTCAGAAGAGAAATCTGAAAACATTAAAGTCAGGTTCATAATTCTAGGGTATTTTGGATTTCTGTTTATCACTCAATAATTCAGAAAATAGTCATCAGACAGCAGAAAAATACATTTTCGCCATGTTTAAATGTTGTACAAATCAGGTGAATGATATATGAACAAACCTTGAGAATATATATGAATTAAACTGTAAAGTTTGGTGCGTGTAAAGCTGCTGAACAGGAGATTTCTGACTCAAACTCACCAACTTTTAAGATATAGATTGATATTAGATACGCAACTAGATGGTGTAATAAAATAAACACTTACATGTATATTTTGTATGTTGTCTTTCCACTAGCCTGAAGATGAGATGTTATAGAGGCAAAATAGCCCTCAAAACTGACCAGTGCATGAAAAAACTGTTTTACTGTTTTTGTCGTGCCATAAGAGTATGAATCATTTGATTTGGTTTTCCAGCAGAAATAAAGATGGCCTAAAACGAGCATAAGAAATGATGAAAGCAGAAAACAAAGGATACAGAGGCGAATGAGAAAGAACTGAAATTAATTAAGAGTGGAAAAACTCATTGCGATTGAAATAAAAACAACCTTCCAACCCGGCGGAAAGCAGAAATCTTGTGATATTATCCCGAACTTGTTTCAGGCCAGAGAGTAAATCAGACACGGCACTTTTTTCTTCACCATTTTTTTTTCCATTGATTTGTTTTACATACATTACATACATACATACTATACATAGATACATAATTAACATTTATAAAATCCTCCCCAAAGTCTTTTAGCATCCAGTTTAAACAGCATGCCAAGTTTGAGTACTGATTCAGTACACACACACACACACACACACGTTAACACCACCAACACACAGGTGCCCACATACCTGCATGCGCACACACACACACACACACACAGGATATGCATACATGCGCGCACACACACACACACACTCGACATGTGGCTGAGGATAACACTGCTGAATCGAGCCATGGTGGCGACAGGCATCACATATGAACAGAAAAAAAAAAGTCTTCATTCACAATGCGTCTGAAACACAAGCCTTCACAACCAAACAAACCTGCAGCCACATTCATCAGCAACCGAAACTTCTCACGTCCAACCAAAGATCTGTGATGCAACCGAGCAAACACACCCTTTCCATTCATATCCAAGACTTGAAGCACATAAAGAGAAAAGATGGGGGTATAGGACACGTAAACAGGAAATAAAGGACTTATAAAAATATATTTATATATAGATTTGTGTGTGTGTGTGTGTGTGTGACACATTTTCAGCCCTCAACCAAAAGAAAAACAAGCTTTTCCGAATGAAGAAAAAATAAAAAAAGTGCTGGACAAGGACAGTATTTCCAAACTCAACCGACAATATAGGTTTACGCTGAAGTCAATAACACCTTTCTTTTGCATTCAGTACATCAATAATGCATACGAAGAAATAAAAAAGGAATATTTCCCCCTCATATACTTCTCGAGAAATCATTTGAGGACGAGGGAACTGATGCACGTGAATGCTTTATATTGTTTGTGGGTGAAAACGCAACTGAAAGTGAAGTGCGCGTGATGATGATGATGATGAAGATGACGATGAGATGTCAGTCTGTGTGTGTCTGTAGTGCCGGAGGTTCTCCATCTTCTCCTCCTCCTCCTCCTCTTCTTCTTTCTGTCAAGTATGCTCCGGTTGCTCAGTGCAGATTGGTTTAGCTGTGTAATTTTTTTCTTTATTTTTTTTTCTTTAATTTCATATTTTGTTGTTTTTAATGTTCTTTAGTGAGAAAGGCTGCATTTTTTTACTCTTCTGTCCCGGGACGAGCGAGTGTTGTTCCTGCTCTCCATCATCACGCCGTCACTCGTACGATCTTCCCTTCACAGCTTTGGACTCGGACCGAGTCTGGATCTCGGCTTATTCGTATTCGAGGAACTGTTTATGGTAAAATAACAAGTACCTGCAAAAAGAGAAAATACAAATGTATATATATATATATATATAAAGAATACAAAAATGACTTTTTCATCTGACAATTCTGACTTTTCTTCATCTCACTATTGCAATTACCTTTTTTTAAGTTTCAATGAGATGATATAGTTTCTATTCATATTTTGAATTAGTTTTCATTTTTATTGTAGGTTTTAGTAACCATGTTTTTGTCATTTTTTTATTAGTTATCGTCTATTTTAGTTGTCAGTGCAAGTGAATGATTAATAAACTACATGATTTAATGTACATTTATATATATTATTATTTAGAGATGTATAGTACTCAGTATATTAAAGGGGTGGTTGATTATGATTTCACTTCTCTAACTGTAGTTAGTGTGTAATGTTGCTGTGTGAGCATAAACAACATCTGCAAAGTTCAAAGCAAAGGGAGATATTTGCTTTTAAAGAAATAGTTTTTTAAGGACTACAACAAACGGCTGGTAGGAACTACACGAGCTTCCTCACGGGTTAGTGACATCACCAACCCTAGAATTTACATAAACCCCGCCCCCGGGAACACGATTTATAGATTATCATGAGCGAATATGCTAATCAATGACTAGAAGAGAGTTAACTCCACATCAGCTGCATAAATTCATCATCTAACATTCAGAAATGTCCTGTTGCTTCTACATGTCGTCACTTCTTCTTGAGTCTCTCCATCTTTGTTTGAACATAAAAGGCTAAAAGTTTTTGAAATTTTCAGTGTGTGTGTGTGAGGTAATCGGACACAAGCTCTTGAAGCTCCGCCCCCTGTGCCGGGAGCAGCAGCTCATTTGCATTTAAAGGGACAGACACAAAAATGGTGCATTTTTGCTCACCCTCAAAAAGTGACAATTTTAACATGCTATATAAGAATATCTGTGGGGTATTTAGAGCTAAAACTTCACACACACACTCTGGGGACATCAGAGACTTATTTTACATCTTGTGAAAAGGGCATTATACCACCCCTTTAATAAATGCTTTATTAACACGCATTTCTACTGTAGTTCATGATTAATTCAGGTAGTTTAGTGGTTGTGTCAGTTAACTATTTTTGTGAGCTCATCTAAAGTGAGGACCATTTATGTCTCGTAAAGCTTTTACAAACCACTGACAACTCCTAAATAACTGGATTGTAAATTATGTAATACTTAATTCAGAAATGATAAACTGATCATTGAAAAAGTCTGAAAATACAATTATTAAACATTATAGATATGCTTATAAATCAAGAATAAAGCATTTATAGCTGTATTTACAAACTGCTAACTAATGTCTATTATAAATTATGAATTAACTATTAACAAATGCTTAAGTAATGATTCATAGTACGCAGTTATTATAAAGTGTTATCAAATCTTTACTGTTCTACTGAAGATAAAAAGACACCTAAATGTTCATTTGTAGGTGAACTATCCCTTTAAGAAAGCATAAGCTCACTTTAAGCAAAACATTACAATGAATGAAAGTATAGTAATTTCTAGTCCAGCATAATTTATCTGCAAAAGTTTGATATTTGGTTTTGAATGTATTGAAACTCAAGTGTGACTCAGACGTCACTATTGTTCTGGTGTGTGTAGACGAGTGTGAGACTGACCCCTCGCTGTCCAGGACATCTTTAATGCTGGCTTTAGTGATAATGGCGTCATCACACTTAAACCACTGGTCCTTGTGCTGCCGGATGAATGTGGTGTAATGGCCGCTCTCCAACGTGCCCTGATGATTCACCACTGCGAACAGAGAATACCTGCACACACACACACACACACACGTCAAGTCAAGTCACCTTCATTTATATAGCGCTTTTAACCATATAGATCGTTTCAAAGCAGCTTTACAGTGATAACACACACACACACACGATAAACAGTCCCTCCAGAAAAGCACGATTACGCGATCGCATGATTTAGTGCATAATCAGCCAAAGTCTGCATATTTATGCGGGGGCATTTTTTCAAATACGCCGCACTTTCGCCGCATAAATTGCCGATTTCCGTGCAAAATATGCGGCGCTTGCATGATTTCATAATCCTCGCATTTTCGTTGCAAAAAAGTCACATATATCTGAGCAGAAAGATGAAAAATGTTGCGTTTGCTTCACACGAGAGCCGCCGTTTCCCCCTGTTGCCATGGGAACGTTATGAAGTGACGTCATTACGCGACGTGAACATCATCGAAAAGCTGTAAAACAGGAGCACACTTTATGTTTTTATATTTTATTGATTAATTTTTACAGAAGTTGTAGCATATTCCTTTTGTAAAGCACCAGAACTTGTTTGACTCATCAGTGTTTTGTAAGTTTGATGTGTTTATTAAGGTCTGAAATAAAACAAAATGAGAACTGAATTATTCCAGCACTTTCTGTGATGTATTCGCTTGCTTATCATAGTAAGTCACAAGAAATGACTCTTTACATGAAGGCCTAGTGAGAACAGGGTGTTGGAGAATCACTTTTTTTTCTCTTATTCATCAAACCGCCGTTTTTGAAAGTTCCCGCAATTTCATCGCATAAAATTGCATAAATATCCCACATATTCCATCGCACATTTAAAGAAATCGGGCCGCATAATCAAGGATTTTTGCCCGCAACAGTCACTTACTTGTTATCGTTGTTTAATGAGTCCACTGGTTGCTGGTACTGGCCATTCATTCGGCTCTCTTTACTGCGAGACAAACAGAAAATACATTAGCATTTAATTTGCAGAGTCACTCCACTTCCTTATCCACGACGAATCCATGTCTGAATGTTGCCGTCGTTGTTGACAGGCATCAGATACTGACGAACAAGGCCTTAAAATATTTTTTTGCCAGCCATGACACAAAAGCAGGCAGTAATGACACCAAAATGTTAGATACCAGTGAAAATTCACATTCCTCTATTCCAATTTGATACCACAGCTAAAACTACTAGCTTAACTAAAATACATTTAATAGGCTACATTTTTAAAGACAAGAAAACATTCAGTAATAAAATAAGAACAAACAATCAAATTAAAAGCACAAATAAATACAATACAACACAATACATACAAATGTAATAAACAGTGCTCTTCAGCCAGGTCTAATTTTTTTTTCTTTGTCCTTTGCTGTTTGGTTAACATTAAGAAACGCAAACAGTAGCAGGATTATGGACAAGTGTTGTAAATGAGCAGTTTTGCTATAACACACACACAAAAAAACAACGTATCTGGTTTGTCCAATGCTGTTGTTATGTCCATATCAAATAAATAAATAAAAAATATTATTTGGATGCTGTCACTTTAAGACATAACCGACTATGTTTACTAGGATTCTCGCTGATACAAGGTTTTTTTTTTTTTTTTATAATTTCGAGTGAATTTGTCCATTCAAGCGCAGGTGGGCATGGAAAAGAGCTCAACTTTGCATTTGTTAGAATTCAAGACTGTTCCTGGCCAACGGGCGACTGACACCGCTTCATACACTCGCCAACGCGGATGTTTAGTTTAGCGAGTGTTGTGTTTAGCAGAGCTGAGTGAGGTCGTACCTGGAGGCCATGAAGGGCGTCATGTCCAGCTCCAGAGGAAAGGACACGTAGGTGGTGATCTTACGCCGGAGCTTCGCTGAATGCTCGAACCGCTGGACACAAGGAAACAGAGGAGTGAGAGATGCAGACGAGAGACAGGGTTCACACACACACACACACACACACACACACATTCAGATGAGCAACGATTACACAAACACTGTGAAGCTCTTTGAAGTCTTTGTAAGATATTCAACATTTTTGCTGGTTCTTGACCAGAATGTGAAGTTGCAAAGTACAGATGCACCAATATAAACATTCGGTCAGACAGAGGATAATTATGCTAATATTATGGCCGGTAACCAATAAATGTATTGTGATGATGACGATAATAGTAATAATTTGCCATTATTATTATTATTATTAAAAATAAATAATTAAATGAGACATGTATATAAATATTAAAGTTGTATACTACTCAGAGTAAAGTAAGAAATAACGATGAAATAATATATAAATACAGTAGTAGCATTAGTTATAATAATAATGTTGGTGAAAATTTTATTCTGCCATCAAAACTTAAAACTTTACTTTGTTTTAAAGAGTACACTAATATAAAATTTTAATATTTTGATACATTTTCATGTAACTATTCATATTACACTACTTTTAAGATTTATGCTTTTCAATTAATAGTAAAATCCCATCAAATTGAATTGCTTACATATTCATATTATAAATGAGTAAAATAAAACAGTTTGTATATATCTTAATGGAATAGGGAATGGACAATTTAATTTATGTGATTCGCATTCATAAATTGAAAAATAGAAAATGAAAATGTTTAAATGAAGTTTAAGATTTACACAAAATGTTTTATTAAGCTCTTGGTTTTTTACTCATTTAAAATTCTTCAATCATAATATTAATAATATTTAAGGATTTTCCTATTAAATTTGATGCAATATTACCATTAATAGAAATGCACTTGTGTGTAAATTTGTTTTTACACAGTAGAATAGAATTTGAATATTTCTATACATTTATCATCATCAATCACATCTCATTACAGAATTCTGTAAATTCTGCCATCAAAATATAATGTACAGTATAAAAAAAAATGGATATTCATTTTGATATTTGCTAAAGATTACATTTAACAGTGTTATTAAATAACGCATTTAAACAGAAAAATGGGAGAAATAAGCATGCACGATTAAATGTTTACAATATCATTCCATATACATCAAATATGGGCTGATACTAATAAAAAATAAATGCATTAAGATTTATCAGTAATCATTAAAAACAAACATTATGCACTTTCATCTGCATCAAAAAAGAAACCAATGCACACACACACACGTACTTTGAGGTGGAAACATGCCACGATAGGAAGTCTCTTCATAGTCAGCTGCTTGGTGGACTCCTGGTAACTATGGCAACCGCTGCATTTGATCTTGGCGCTGCTTCCTAAGTGTTCGGGTCGGGTGAACCTGCAATGCAGAAGCTTGAGTCAGTGGCGCCCGGTGCGATCACAGATCCGCGTGTGTGTGTGTGTGTGTGTGTGTGTGTGCACCTGCGCAGGCAGTCTGTGAGTGTGGTGGCTCCGCTGGGATGACTGTCTCCGTTCACCACACTGCCGTCACTGCCCGGGCTCAGCGGCCAGAACGGGGTGGACGAACCCGGCAGGTCCAAGCTAATGTCCCAGAACGGGTCTATTGTGGTGGAGACTCCACTGCAGACACACAAAACACTGAATAATCACATCTTTTTCTCAGCGCTACTAATGCACAACCTCAAATAGCACTCATGAATCGGCCAGAAAACATTCAAACTTGATTTGATAGATGCATTTGCACTTAAATAATCAAGAAACGGCAGGAATGCAATGTGCATGATGCAATACCTCTGTTCAACACAAGGTGGCGTTGAGGAGCGTTTATTTCGAGAAAACAAGATGCATAGACACTGGCTCTGTTCCAAAACCATGTAGGGACTAGGGAGCATTTTAAGGCAACAAATTTAATCAAATATATATCTTTTCACAGAGCAAAATTAACAAAAGCATTGTTATCAGACTTTATTTTAATTATGTAATTGAAATGTAAAATCAGGGGTACTAGTGTGTCAACTGCCTACATAAAAAAAGCTTACTAAAATGGATGCAGAGTGAAGTGACTTAAAGGGGTCCTATATTGTGCTTTTTTTACCTGTTCATCTTTCTTCAGTGTGTAATGTTGCTGTTTGAGAGTGAAAAATCTCTGCAAAGTCACACAGTTCTTCTCTATATCAGTGTTTCTGAACTCCCTGAAACGCCTCCATTGTAGTCTTGAGTTTCTTTCGGGAACGAACACGACACAATAGTCCTCATTATAATAATTAATGCGCAGAATAAAGGGGCGGGGCCTGGTTGAGTTAGTTAGTAGTGTGTTAAACTGGTGGTTATGGTAATTAGGGGCGGGACATTTCCCAAACACACTCGAAGCGCTCGACCAATCACAACACACTGATCCAGCCGACCAATCAGAGCACAGTGTGCTTTTCAGAAGGAGGGGCTTCATAGAGACAGGAACTAAACAGAGCGTTACTGACAGACTGGGAAGATAGGAGCCGCAACAATGGAGAATATGGGGAAAATAATGTGTTTTTGAACATTCAAACTTAAAAACATATCATAGTAGAGCCCAAAAACAACATCAAGACTTTAAAACGGGACGGCCTTATTCACAAAAAAAAAGCAGAATGTCAGTTCATTCTTGCATACATTAACACATTCAATTCAATGTGTCAATTAATGCAAGAACAGATATATGAACGGTTGACAGATGTTCGCTCGCCTCGTTTCATCTCACACACACACACTGTGCTGTATATGTGGTCTTACTGGCAGACTTGGCAGGTGACGTCAGACTGCAGGCCTCCTGTGAAGATTTGGTCAATGATGCAGTTGCAGTGGTTTGGGTTGTTGGCTTTTTTCCCATTATCATCTCCTTAGCGGACATGGAAGGAGCATATGAACGAACACACACACACGTACACACACACACACACACACAGAGAGAGAGAGAGAGAGAGAGAGACAGAGAAGGTCTGATTAGAAAGCAGCGCTCGGACTGCTGCAGAAACACCCCTCCCTTTGCTTTCACACTGCAGGAGAAAGAGTGAGATCCGTCTACCGACTCTACATCTATATCCTCTCGCTTTCATTCGTCCGCTCCTCCGTCTCGGAGCGCTTGCTCCCATCGCCCACCGACTCCGACCTCAGTGCGTACACTGCGACAAGACTCTCTCCTTCGCTCTCGCACATGCGCGCTCAGAGTCGAATCAATATTTTAAGGAGGAAATGTTTCATCCTACAGTCACGAATCTGCACATGAATAACAATTAGATCTTACATGAGAAGCGGCGACGTCCTATAAAGCTAACGGTGCTGTGAGTGAAATAACACGCATTAAATCCGCATGCTATCTGACAGATGATCCAGAAAAACATGTGAAATAGCTTGCAGGATGTTTAAGGCAGAGCGATTAATGGGAATAAAAGCGATTATCACACCGCAAACGCTGTGATTTTATCAAATAAACATGTGTTGCATGTTTCAGAAGGGAAACGGCTAAATAAAAGCTTGATGTTTTCTTAAGAAAACCTTATTAGTATAGCAATCTTACAGTTGTATCTTACAATCTTACTTAAATACTCTCATTTTTATCGTCTTAAACCATTTTTTATTTTACAGTATTTTTAAACGTTGCATTGTTTGACAAATCTTATTTCATATTTTTATTTAGTAATAACCATAATAAAAATAATAGCATCTGTAATTAATTATTTTAGTCGTATTGCTACATAAATCACTAAATGTGGGCAAATTTTGCAGCCCAAACACAGCAAAGCTTTTTGAATTGCATTTTAAAAATCACAATAGCAATTTTGTTAGAAAGAGAGAAAAAAAGGTTTTTACATTTTTTTTCCCGCCAAAATCGTGCAACCCTACTTTTACAGGTAAATGTGTTATTTCCTTGATGTTATTAAAATACTTTTCACTATCATAACATTGTTTTAATTGGACACAGCAACACCGGCTCCACCAATAGTGTGATTTTGAGGCGGGCTTTATGTTTGTCCAGCCAATAGCAGATAATGTCATCTTTAATGTACGTCTTTACCCGCCTGAAATGCATTCTGTTCCGGCTCGTCCTGCTTTCTGACAGCAGATTAGTCCTAAAATACAGCTGTCACTGTTAACACACACCATGCAGCGTTACTTCATCTTTCCTGCTCTAAACCACACATTTCATCTGAAAAGCAGCCAGGTGGAACTGATATAATTAGCAAGCTAATGCTGCGTTTCATTCAATTCACCGTTCGCAGGGAGTTTGATTGACAGGCGATCTGACCAATCATAATCCGCCATCCGCCGAATCCGCCATTTTTGTCGGACGAAGCCGTCAGGAGAGTTAGTAGATTAACGTCGGAGGACTTGAACTTGAGAAACGGTGTGTACTGACGTCTTTCCGCGGTTAAAACAACATTCCTTCTGATGTTCTTTCATGTTTATTTGATGCTATGAATGAACTAGAAGGAAGAGATGATCGGTTCACGAGCAGATTTAACTGAGCGATCTGTCAGACACATTAAACAGACACAAAACGGTATTTGTTTACATTTCTTAAAAAACGACCAAATTTGAAAGTTGAGACTGTTTAATATCAAAAGTAACCTGGTCTCTCCTGTCTGTCAGTGCGTTGTCAGTGTCCTCTCTTCTCCGCGATGTATTTTGTATATATTTGGCGATATCTTTTGTATTTTTTTGCGATGATGTATTTTGTATATTTTGCGATGCATTTCGTATATTTTGCGATGTATTTGGTATATTTTGAGATGTATTTGTATATTGTGCGATGTATTTGTATATTTTGCGACGTATTTAGTATATTTTGAGACGTATTTTGTATATTTTGCGACGTATTTGTATATTTTGCGATGTATTTGGTATATTTTGAGATGTATTTTGTATATTTTGCAATGTATTTTACGGTGGCCGAGAGAGCTCAACGCGCTGCAACTGAAGAAAACACATGCAAATACAAAAAAACACATGCAAATAAAATAAAACGCATGCAAATACAAAAAAACCGCGTGCAAATAAAAAAAAACACCCGCAAATTAAGAAAACATCTTCATCAGTTTCACAACACATTTGGTGTGCTCCAAATACTCACAACACCACCAAATACAAACGCTGCAAAAGCTCACAACACAAATACAGAAAACGCGCTGCAAATAACACAGACCACAGCGGAAATGTTTCCAGAGGAACCAAATAAGTGACGAACCCGGCTGGGACGTGCTGGAATAGATATCCATAAATCTATGCGTCCATACATATAGTTTTATGTCTATATGTATGGACCCCTCTTGAAAATGAGATGTTGCATCTCAAGGGGCTATCCATTAATAAAATTGAAATTGAAATTAATTTCCTCATTATTTTCACCTGGGATGTTCCCATGACAACGCAGCACAGAGTCCATCAGCTGAAGAGCTGTTCTTACCACAGAAATATAATGCTGTCAACATAACGGATGCAAAAACATTTTTATTTTTAGTTTACAAAAAAGCTTTTAAAATATGCGTTATATCTGTGTGTCTCAACTTTAAAATTTTGGACCCTACATTACCTAACATTTCTTACGAAACTTTTCTTTATGAAAATGTAATAACATGAAACAATTTGTACAGTGTAACTGATGTATAGATAAATATCTTTCCTTCATGATTTTCTTCTTTATCTTTTTTATTTATTTATTTTAGTTTCCAGCTCATTGTTCTTTTCTCATTTGTATTCTGATGACATTGAACACATTGTTAATACATTTTGTACATTGTATACAAGTTGTATGTCATAAAAAAAATGTAATCTCTGTATGTTTTGCACAAATAAATAAATAAAGTATAATTTTAAGCTGTAAGCACCAGCACACATAGATTTATGGATATCTATTCCAGCACGTCCCAGCCGGGTTCGTCACTTATTTGGTTCCTCTGGAAACATTTCCGCTGTGCTCTGTGTTATTTGCAGCGCGTTTTCTGTATTTGTGTTGTGAGCTTTTGCAGCGTTTGTATTTGGTGGTGTTGTGAGTATTTGGAGCACACGTGTGTTGTGAAACTGATGAAGATGTTTTCTTAATTTGCGGGTGTTTTTTTTTTATTTGCACGCGTTTTTTTTGTATTTGCATGCGTTTTATTTTATTTGCATGTGTTTTCTTCAGTTGCAGCACGTTGAGCTCTCTCGGCCACCGTAGTATTTGTATATTTTGAGATGTATTTTGTATATTTTGAGATGTATTTTGTATATGGTGTGGCGTGAGAGGCGTGGCTTGTCGGACATAGCAACAGTAACTAAAGGGGGGCGGGTCTTTGCGAACGGTCAATTGCGTTACTTAGTTACTTTTACTTTTTAAAAGTAATCCGTTAATTACTTTTGCGTTACTTTTTTCCCACCATGGCTGGGCTTGTTTTTTTGTTTGTTTTTTAACAAAAAAAAAAATATATATATTTTTGGACAAATGTAACCTTTCACACTAAAAGCCTCAGGCTGAAGGAAAGCAGATCTACTCCTGACGACGCTCAAACAAACCTTTCCGCTGATGATATTCTGGATAACGGAAGAATAGGATGCAGGAGAAGAAAGTTTAACACTTACTTTACCAATAAAAACTAAAAAATCTAGTCATTTTAGGGATGGAACGTTTACCGGTTTCACGATAAACCACGATAAAATCTCCTGACAGTTAGTAATATCTTTTAAAATGTAATTACCATGAAAACCGTGTTCGATTATCGCGTTTTGAAAACCTTTTGTAAATTCATTGTACGTACTGTTCTCTGTTATTGTTAAGCCCCACTAAAGATATAAAAAATATTGTAAAGCACCATAAAGTTTTCATGCACTATATTCCGAGACTTCTGAAGCGATTCGATGGCTTAATGTGAGGTACAAATGAGTATTTAAGTCGTAAAAGTGAATGGAAACTCATCTCTCCTCAGCCGTTCTCCGTCCATTCAGCGCGTCGTGTGCGGTTACGACAGTAACACGAGGAAACAAGATCAAGGTTCCCATTACTATACTTTATTTGTAGAAAAAGGTCAATGGTTTTTCATAAAAGTACTTTATCTCGCTGGAGTTTATTTCCGTTTCTAAATCATGAGTGTTTCTCCCGGGTGTCGGATCACACTGGAGTAGAGAGCACTGAACTGAAATGTACAACTGTTAAAAGAAAAGGCTAATAAACTGTTGCATAGATATGATACACTAAGCATCAATATCTATTCTCCTACCCTTGTTTTCTGAACTTTTCAATGCAAAGCGCTCTATATCGAAGCCTTTCATAATAGCCCTATAATACTTTTGCCCAATGAAAGATTAAGATTATTAATGGTCTCTCTTGTTCTGTCCTATCTATCAAATGTTGTTGCCTCATGAAAAAGCTGCGCAATACATTTAAAATAAATGTCATTTTATAGTATATGTAAATACATTTATTTGATTTTCAATGGAACATTTTAACTTTTAACTAAATGTTTTTTCCCCCCACTATAATGACATTTGCTGCTAAATTATCCACTAACCTCGTTTATAATTTATAATAGCATTTTAATGAAACGAGAGAGTGTCCGCGGTGATAAAAGAGATGTGCGCTGTGTTATAATGCGTTGCTATTGACTACGGTCATATAATTTAATGTGTAAGCTTAAAAAAAAGTGAATAGAGCTGCTAATTTTATTTGTTTTTTTGTCAATTTCCAAATATAAAACTTGTTGAAATGTTTTCAGTGCGCGTATCAGTTCTTTTTGAAGATTTTCATCTCATTTTAACCAAATTTTAATTTAATTTTATTTAATTTAATTTTAACCAAACCGTGATAATTTGGGTCACTATAATCGTGATATGAAGTTTTCATACCGTTACATCACTAAGTAATTTTTGCTTATGGTTTCACTGAATCATCGAAGGTCAGAAGTACATTGGTCAATAACGTGAGATTAAATGCATGTTTTATTGAACATATTAAAGGTTTGGCGTGAGAGGAGCGTGGCTTGCCGGACATGGCAACCATAACTAAAGGGGGCGGGTCTTTGCGAGCGGTCAGCTGATAGGGCTGTGATGCGTGTGATTGGCTGCGGTACCTTTGCAGTGTCTGTGCAGCACGTCGAGCGCGGCGATCAGGAACTCGTGAGCGTCTTGCTGCTCGTATCCGGCCAGGTGTCGAGCGTGAGTCCAGACCAGGTGGAGCAGCCGGAAGGGAATGTGAGGAGAGCGGTGACCCGAGTAAAACTACCACAGAGAACGACAGAGACATCAGTGACACACTACATGATCAAATACAGTAAAAAATGCAATATATTATTGCAATTGAAAATAAATGTGTTCTATGTGAATATATAGTAAAGTGTAATTTATTCCTGTGATCAAAGCTGTATTTTCAGCATCATTACTCCAGTGTTCAGTGTCACATGATCCTTCAGAAATCACTCTGATATGATGATTTGATGATCAAGAAACATTTATGATTATTATTATCAATATTGAAAACAGTTGTGCTGCTTCATAAGTTTGTGGAAGCTGTGATAAAACTGTGTGTTCAGGATTGTGTGATGAAAAGAAAGAAATCTTTGGTAACATTAAACTACTTAAGCAGCAAATCAGCATATTAGAATGATTTCTGAAGGATCATGTGACGCTGAACCAGCTCAAAAGAGTAATTTGCTTGATAATCTGATTACTCTGGCTGTGTTGTGTGTGTGTGTGTGTGTGTGTGTGTGTGTGTATGTATGAGTGTGAGTGAGTGAGTGAGTGAGTGAGTGTGTGTGTGTGTGTGTGTGTGTGTATATATATGAGTGAGTGTGAGTGAGTGAGTGTGTGTGTCTGAGTGCATGTCTGTGAGTTAGTATATGAGTGTGTATGTAAGTGTGTGTGTCTGAGTGTTAGTATACATATGTGTGTGTGTGGGGTGGGGTGGGGGGGGGGGGGTATATGAGTGTGTGTGTGTGTGTGTGTGTGTGTGTGTGTGTGTGTGTGTGTGTGTGTGTGTGTGTGTGTGTGTGTGTGTGTGTAAGTGTTTGTTTATGAGTGTGGGTATATGTGTGTGGGTATATGTGTGTGTGTGTGTGTGCACGCGTGTGTGTGTGTAAAGCTCTCACCTCCTGAAAGAGCTGAGACATTATAAGTGTATATGTGTGTGTGTGTGTTTAAGTGTTTGTTTGTGAGTGTGGGTATATGTGTGTGTGAGTAAGTGTTTGTTTGTGAGTGTGGGTATATGTGTGTGTGTGTGTGTGTGCACGCGTGTGTGTGTAAAGCTCTCACCTCCTGAAAGAGCTGAGACATTATAAGTGTATATGTGTGTGTGTGTGTGTTTAAGTGTTTGTTTGTGAGTGTGGGTATATGTGTGTGTGAGTAAGTGTTTGTTTGTGAGTGTGGGTATGTGTGTGTGTGTGTGTGTGTGTGTGTGTGTGTGTGTGTGTGTGTGTGTGTGTGTGTGTGTATATATATATATATGTATGTATATGTGTGTGTGTGGGGGGTGTGTGTGCGTGTGTGTGTAGCTCTCACCTCCTGAAAGAGCTGAGACATTTCACACACGAGGCAAGAGTTGGACTGCATCTCACACTTGTGTCTGTCGGACAGGAAGAAATCCCTCAGCAGCGGAGTGTGTGTGAGAGCCTGAACGATACAGTTCATAAAGCATGTGTTCCCAAGGTTTATTAAACCCCTCAATCCTGAAAGAGGAGATCGAAAGTACAGAGAGCATTAAAATTAAGGATGGACACAATAAGAGATTCATCACCAGCAATGGTTTTGAAATAAGCTAAGTTTTTAGTTTAAAACTTATACATTATTTTATTATTAAAGGTTCTCTAAGCGATCCTGGGTGACGTCACTTCTTGTTGACGTTTAAAGTATTGTCAAACAAAACGGAGGCTAGCTAGACCCTCCCTCCTCCTCATCCGCACACTAACCCCCCAAACCACACCCCCACACCCTTCTTGTCGGTCATTGGCTGGAACAGTTTGTTATGTTTCGGGGAGCGGGTCGCTGCAGTTTGTTTTTGTTGCTGTTTGTGAAGCATGGGCTGTCTACAGAGATCGCGTTTCTTTACAGTGTGTTCAGGGGACAGGCAGCCAGCGGATAGTGAGGAGATGTTTGCTGTATGTGACAAAAAATGTTTTGGCCTAAAAAACGCGCGACATCGCTTAGAGCACCTTTAATAATTGATTATATATAATTTATAATTTAACTTTTTTTGTGAGAGTAGATATAAAGTAAGTGAATAAGCAATATGTTTTGCTAACATTATTATTATTGTGATGTTTTAATTATTATTATTATTTTAATTATTATTATTATGTATGGTTTACTTAATAATAAATTATTATAAATAATAAATATAACATCAAAAACATCAACATTTTATTAATTTACTTTGCATTAACTTCTGTTATGACCATTTTGTATTAGTACTTTATTATTTATAAATTATTTTCTTCATTTACCCTTTTTTATTTACATTTATCACCATAAAATGCATATTATTCATAAAATATTATTAATAATAAGTTCATTTACTTTCCATTTCCTGTTTGCCAATTTTATTTTTTAAAAATTATTCATAAACAACAACAAAACGAATGAGTAAAATTAATTAAAATACTATTTAAAAAAAGTGCACTCACCTAGAGGTTACATAGTAACCAGTTTAGGAGGTAACATGCATATATAAAAGAATAAAAAAATATATATAAAAGGGCATACAATTGTTATAAAACAAAAGCAAGTCGTTCTCAGTGTTTAGAGATGGTGTATTCACTAAAAAGAACTAGTTCAAAAGAGTCATTTGCTCAAGAACGGGGGGACTCTTTGTTTTTTTGATTTGCTACAAAGAATCAACTCAGAGCTCAAAAGAGTCACTTGTTTCCCACTTTGTGTATGAATCACTAAAACGGACCAGCTCAAAAGAGTCATGCGTTCAGGAGTCAGCTGGCTTACATTGGTCTCCCAGTATGTTTTCAATCCACTACAAGGAACTCAAAAGAGTCACTTGTTTCCCACTTTGTGTATGAATCACTAAAACGGACCAGCTCAAAAGAGTCATGCGTTCAGGAGTCAGCTGGCTTACATTGGTCTCCCAGTATGTTTTCAATCCACTACAAGGAACTCAAAAGAGTCACTTGTTTGGGAATCAAACGACTCTGGTTGTTTTTGATTCACTAAAAAGAACGAGCTCAAATGAGTCATTTATTTGGGATTGGTGATATGTCAACACTGCTTGAGTTTTGTGCATGATTTACTAAAACAAGCAGCTCAAAAGAGTCATCTATTCAGGAATCGGTTTGATCTCACCGGTCACGCTGCGTTTATGATTCGCTACAAAGAACCGGCTCAAAAGAGTCATTTGCGTGAGAATCTGACTTCTCTGGTTGCGTTGTCGTTCTCAGTGTTTTAGAGAATGTAGTAGTATTCTAGTAAGACTACACGCTTGCGCACATATATATATTTAAATGCGCATACCTATAGACTAAACACGTCATGCGCATGTGCACACCATCAGCATTTTCACAGATTCGCGTTTTTGAAGTTTACGTGGAGATAACTTAAAAAAAAAAAAAAAACACAAACACCTTGGAAATTATTTCAAGGTTTGCGTTCTCGAGTACCAAACACTGCTGTTGTACGGATGAACGGTCGGAGCGCATAAAGAGCATATTGCAGGTAAAAAAAAACTAAATTAATATATAACCTTGTATGAAAAGTTAAATGTTTTAAAACGACATAAGGGCACTAATTTAGTAGATAAAGTGAGCGTTTCTTTGACTGCTCGTAAAAACGGCTTTTTTTTTTCAACATCGTGTTTTCAGTTAAAACGGCGTAAGTTAATAACTAATGATCTTTGCAACGAAAGTGAATCATTCAAAACTAACTTTATCTGGACAATAACTTTATTCTAGCGCTGCTGTAAAGCCAAAACAATCTGTTACTGTAATCTCCTATTATCACTGTAAAGCTGCTTTGAAACAGTCTATATTGTTAAAAGCGCTGTATAAATGAAGGAGACTTGACTTGACTAGAGCAAGTGGTTCAAATTGAGCAAACAATCCATTTTCACAAGGTAAATGGCCTCGTCTCAATCTGAAGTGTATAACCACAGAAGTTAAACCCCAGCAGGCTCTCTTGTCCGTCAGATCGAGTCTCTTCCCTGCGGTGCTGACGACGGGTCACAGGCCCGCGAGCTTTGAGACGAGCAGACAGACGTGCGCTCACACAGGGTGGCTAAACGCCTCCCACTGGCCCGGATCCAAACCTACAGCGCTCAGACATCCGCTCCTCACGCGAGCTCAGAGTCCAGTTAAACAGAGGACGGGGAGAAAGAGACGGGACCAGAACAAGCAGCGCTGCAGAAAGGCCAACCGTGTGAAAACTAGGGATGCACCAATTATTCGGCCAAAAATAGCAAAGAAAGCACTTTCGGTGTAGAATAAGTGAGAAGACCGAATACATCTCTCTTTGCGGCTGAATGGTCAAATACAGACACGGTTGTCAAAATCCCCATCTCACTTCTCAGGGTTCAGTTATAATGAAGGCAAGCGGTAACCTTCCAGTCTCTCTCGAATCGACTTAAACTGCAATTCATCGACTGGCCACTAGAGACAGGCAGTCTGGTGCAAAAAAGTGGTTTGGTCTATATAGCTAATTTTGCTCTTCATGACGACTGTGAGGGGGTGCATTTTTTAAACTCATCCGTTTAAATATTAAGCCTTAAAGTTCTGCATAATTAAGGGCGTGGCCGCTTGAGTGACAGGTGGATTGCCGCTGATGTCACTGCTAGCCGCTTGTCTGCTGTGTGTTAGCGTCAGCTCAGCTAATCCGCCTCGCGGCACATCATCGTTTATCCGGGAGTGACGCGCGGCCAAGATGGCGACGGCCGGCTCCGCTCACTTTGGGCTTCAGAAATGCTCTTCAGAAACACAACGGGTGACGTCACACACACTACGATCATATTATTTTACAGTCTATGGATGAAGGACGAGGAGAAACAGACGGGACCGAAACAAGTAGCCCTGCAGAAAGGCCAACAGTGAGAAAACCTGGATAGAGAGATAGAGAGGTAGATATACATATATATAAATAAAGAGAGATAGAAAGGATAGATATATATATATAAAGAGAGATAGAGAGGTAGATAGATATATATAGAAAGAGAGATAGAAAGCTATATATATATATAAAGAGAGATAGATATATATAGAAAGAAAGATAGAAAGGTATATATATATATATATATATATATATATAAATAAAGAGAGATAGAAAGGTATATATATATATATAAAGAGAGAGAGAGGTAGATAGATATCTATAGAAAGAGAGATAGAAAGGTATAAATATATATATATATATATAAATAAAGAGAGATAGAAAGGTAGATATATATATATATATAAAGAGAGATAGAAACCTATATATATATATATATATAAAGAGAGATAGATATATATAGAAAGAAAGATAGAAAGGTATATATATATATATATATAAATAAAGAGAGATAGAAAGGTAGATATATATATAAAGAGAGAGAGAGGTAGATAGATATATATAGAAAGAGAGATAGAAAGGTATAAATATATATATATATATATAAAGAGAGATAGAAACCTATATATATATATATATAAAGAGAGATAGATATATATAGAAAGAGAGATAGAAAGGTATAAATATATATATATATATATAAAGAGAGATAGAGAGGTAGATAGATATATATAGAAAGAGAGATAGAAAGCTATATATATATATATATATATAAAGAGAGATAGATATATATAGAAAGAAAGATAGAAAGGTATATATATATATATATAAATAAAGAGAGATAGAAAGGTAGATATATATATAAAGAGAGAGAGAGGTAGATAGATATATATAGAAAGAGAGATAGAAAGCTATAAATAGATATAAATCTACCTCTCTATCTCTTTCTATATATATATATATATATATATATATATATCTAGCTCTCTTTTATCTCTCTGAGAGAGATAGAAAGGTATATATATAGAAAGAGAGATAGAAAGGTATATATATATATATATATATATATCTATTTAACTCTGCATCTCTCTTTATATATATATATATACACCTTTCTATCTCTCTTTCTATATATATACCTTTCTATCTCTCTCAGAGAGAGAGAGAGAGAGAGAGAGAGAGAGAGAGAGAGAGAGAGAGAGAGAGAGAGAGAGAGAGAGAGAGAGAGAGAGAGAGGTCATCCGGCGTCTCCTGTGGCACTTTCAAGTACTAATATATTATTAATGCACACGAGTGATTGAACATCATACACACGCCTGATCAACACACAGCACATCACAGCTGACAACGCCTCCGCTTCAGTCACTTCTACGCCGGACATCGAAACTACATGCATGACATATACAGCGGAATTAAACTGTGCATCGCCTGCAACACGATAGCAATGCATAAAAACAGCTCATGCTAAGTAACTTAATGATTCCGGTTCGTTTAATGATTCTTCTGTATTTTTGAGAAATATTTGATAGAATTTCAGATAATAGATGGATAGCCTAAATTTAGTAAAAAAAAAAAAGTAAAAAAAAATTGATAATTGTGATTGTTTTGTTGTGCTGTGAAACTCACAATTCACACAGTAAGTTTTGTAAGCTATGCGTGTTTGATTCACTAAAAATAACCACCTGAAAAGAGTCGGGAATCATTTGGATCATGTGTAAAACGCTGATTCAAAAATGAGCTTTTGACGCTGATTCTCACTTGCTTGAGAACTGGACTACTCTGGTTGTGCTTTGTTTTTGATTCACTATAAAGAACCAGCTCAAAAGAGTCATTTGTTCAGGAGTCAGTTGAATTACACGGGTCACACTGTATGTTTTCAATTCACTAAAAAAGAACTGACTCGAAAGAGTCATTTGCTTGAGAATCTAAATCCTCTGGTTGTGCTGTAGGTTTCTGATTTGCTAAAAAGAACCAGCTCAAAAGAGTCATCCATTCAGGAATTGGTTTTATAAACACTGGGCACGCGGTGCGTCTTTGATTCACTAAAAAGAACCAGTTCAAAAGAGTCATCCATTCAGGAATTGGTTTTATAAACACTGGTCACGTGGTGCGTCTTTGATTCACTAAAAAGAACTAGTTCAAAAGAGTCATTTGCTCAAGAACTGGACTCCTCTGGTGGTGCTTTATGTTTTTGATTTGCTACAAAGAATCAACTCAGATCTCAAAAGAGTCACTTGTTTCCCACTTTGTGTATACTATGAATCACTAAAACGGACCAGCTCAAAAGAGTCATTTGTTCAGGAGTCAGCTGAATTACATGGGTCACACTGTATGTTATCAATTCACTAAAAAAATAACTGACTCAAGAGTCATTTGCTTAAGAATCTAAATCCTCTGGTTGTGCTGTAGATTTCTGATTCGCTAAAAAGAACCAGTTCAAAAGAGTCATCCATTCAGGAATTGGTTTTATAAACACTGGTCACGCGGTGCGTCTTTAATTCACTAAAAAGAACTAGTTCAAAAGAGTCATTTGCTCAAGAACTGGACTCCTCTGGTGATGCTTTATGTTTTTGATTTGCTACAAAGAACCAACTCAGAGCTCAAAAGAGTCACTTGTTTCCCACTTTGTGTATGAATCACTAAAAAGGACCAGCTCAAAAGAGTCATGCGTTCAGGAGTCAGTTGGCTTACATTGGTCTCCCAGTACATTTTCAATCCACTACAAGGAACTCAAAAGAGTCACTTGTTTGGGAATCTAACTACAACGCATTCCTGTGTGTTATATTTAACATCAGTTATGGTGTTTTTGTATATATATATATATATAAATAAAAAAGAGCTCTCAGCTCCCAACACTAATTGATGTAAAAGTGCAAAATTTTTCCGCTATTGAGATTTAACTTAATTTTACAGTTGCTGAAGTGTAGCATCAAGCTGATTAGCGCGTCTTTAATGAAGCCGAAAGCTGTCGTGTCGTGATTCGTTGTGTCATCGGACGCCTACAGTCTGTAAACCAACAGCAATCTCGCACAATATCCATCTGAATTCATCATACACGGCCCATATTATGTCCTAAATGATCAATGGGAGCTCCGGCTCTCATACGGCTAATCGCATTAGTGCGTTTCTCTGGGTGTGAGAGAGGCTAGCGTTTAGCGCCTACGCTGGGCCTGTGGTGCAGATATTTAACACCATTACTCCACCGCCAGACCTCTGACTGAGGGGAAACAGGCGAAAATGAGAAAAGGGAGAGGAAACATTATTTCTCTAATGGCTAGAGTCCATATCTCCGCTTTATTCTCCCTGCGCCATGGCATGCAAACAGAAAGAAAAAAATAGATGGAAAGTGTCGAAACTGATGGCCAAGAAACAAAGAGTGGTCTTGGCTCCGGTGCAAAACTGCAGTCTCTAGACATTTGACTACTAGAAAATCATTTGAACCCACTGGTTTTATACAGATGAGTTTTGGCAGAGGCCTGATCAGCTGCTGTGTTATTGAACAGAGTTTCAGAAATGTGGCCTGTGGGAAATGAAGCTCTTACCAATGGTGCAGTTTGCTGTGATTTTCCTTCGTTTGGGGTTGTGTCGCAGCAACTCCAGCTCTCGCTTCGTAGGCTCCCACATCGAGTATTTCTCTCCGATACCTGGCGGTTTAGGGAATTTGCACATTATATTTCATACATAAATATACACAAGACTGCATTAAACAGAATTAAAGATTTTGTAAATACATGATGTTCTTTTGAACTTTCGATTCATCAAAGAATCCTGAAAAATAAATGTATCATGGTTTCCATGTATGAATAATAATAAATGTTTCTTGCGCATCAAATCATCTCTGAAGGATCATGTGACACTGAAGACTGGAGTAATGATGCTGAAAATTCAGCTTTGATCACAGGAATAAATTACAGTTTACTATATATTCACATAGAAAACAGCATTAACATGTTGTTAAAATGATTATCATGTAGCTAACGTGATTAAGATGTTGCTAGCTTGATTTAACATGTTGCTAGCATGTTTTAACACAGTTAACAAATTATTTTAAAAGTCTGCATGCAGACTTTTTGGATTTCATAAACCTTGCACATTAAAAAAAGTAAGGTTTGAAAAAGCTTTACAGTGATGATGTCAATGCAAGCCTGAAAACTAAACTAGCATGCTATTATTTTGAGGCCTTGTGGATCATGTGACACTGAAGACTGGAGTAATGATGCTGGAAATGCAGCTTTGATCACAGGAATAAATTACATTTTACTATATTTTCAAATAGAAAACAGAATTAACATGTTGTTATTAATTCTACTATTAATGATTGCCATGTTGCTGACACGATTTGACACATTGCTAGCATGATTAACACAAATTATTCATTCTGCATGCAGACTTTTTAGATTTCATAAACTTTGCACATTAGAAATGTTAAGGTTTGAAAAAGCTTTACAGTGATGACGTCAATGCAAGCCTGAAAACTAAACTAGCATGCTATTATTTCGAGGCCTTGCAAACAACAGCAAAGCAAACGCCAATCTATTTTAGCATTACGCTACACACTTGTGCAGATTCAATAGCAAGCTTAAGAAAATAATGAAAGATTAGCTCAAACCAAACACACACTCTTGCCGTCCCGTGGCTCGCGACACAACAGTTTCGAATATTAATTTTCCGAACGACTGGCCTCTTACGCCACAGGCCAAGCTGAACCACAGAGGAACCAACCTTGCAATTTCCAGGCTTTTCTTTGTTCTTCTTTGGCAATCTGCTCCATGTCTTTGTCGTAAATGTAGTCTTGGCACACAAAGCAATATATTCCACCATACAAAAGGTCTATAGCTGAATAAGAGAAGGAGAGGGAGAGAAAAAACAGAGGGAAAGGACCTATTAGAGACCTTTTGGAGAAGTTGACGTTTGCATCTTCCCGTATCTGCCCTGTAAATATGGATGAGGCATTAAGGAGCATCCCAAGCATTGCTCAGTGCAGCAAATCTGCCTCCTTTAATAAGTGATGGGAATAATAATTAGGGTGCAGCACAGAAACATCCATCGCTGCTTGTGCCACAATATCGTGTCCTCTGTGTGAGATGCCATGAGAGCAATCGCTTTTACCTGTCAGCTTCTTATTGCCCTGACTGATGCTATCGTTGTGAATGAGGAGTATTTATGAATTATGCTAATTCAGCGCACTGTAAAAACCTGTTTACTGTAAGTTGCCTTATTCTATACAGGGAAAAACTATTATCTAACCTTACATTGTGTCATTTTAGGGTAAACTTCTGTTAAATACACCTTTTACACTGAACAACAATTGGAGTAGGATTTACTTGAAAAAAGCTAGGCAACTTTTTCACTCAGAAAATGCTAGTAAATTTACAACGATTTGCCAAGTAAAAACCTAAACATATTTATCAGTAGCTTTAATTAGAAATATTTAAGTTAAATTTACTTGGAATATGGAATTAAGTAAACTTTACTTAATCTAGTCAAGTGAAAGGAACAAAGAAAATAAGAAATTTTAACTTGGCTAGTGTAAGGTTGAGTAATATCAATTTAGTTGAAATTTCCTTTGCATTACATTTCACTCAAACAATAATATTGAATTATACCAGTATGTGCTTTAATTGATACTACATGTCAGATGTTGAACATTATGTGAATGCAAAGACCTCAATACTTGGTAGAAAATACACAATGACGGTAACATTTGATGGATTGTTTTTGTGTTTGAATGTGTCATTTTGAGCAGAAAATTTACTCGAAATGTCACAAAATGGCAAGTTACTATAATCCTAACAACAGAAGCAGTGATAAAACAGTGTAAATACAGCTGGAAACCAGTGAAAAAAAAAAAATCAACCTCATTAATTATTCAAGGTCCAGTGCATGATGGGAACCCCAGTATCAGAAAAGTTGAGTAATTTTTACTTAATTTTATTAAGTTGATATTTACGCTTTCATTTCTACTCGCTTGAATTCAGTACTGATATGGAATTTACTTAATTTTTTTAATTATTGCCTGAACTAACTTTTTCATGTAAATTACATGGATGTAAATCCACAAAATCATTTTTTACAGTGTATTCAGCGAAGATGCATTAAACTGAACAAAAGTAACAGTAAAAACATTAAAAATGAACATATATTGGCCGATACTAATATGGTGGCCGATGTATCATGCATCCCTGATAATGGTACAGTAGTAATACATGCTGCAACTGTTATTTGACACTGATAATAATCATAAATGTGTCTCGAGCATAAAATCATCATATTAATATGATTTCTGAAGGATCATGTGACAGCTTTGATCACAGGAATTACAGGTTATGACATTCAAATTGAAAATGGTTATTTTAAAACGTATTTTTTTTCCACAATATTTCTACTGTATTTTTGATCAAATACCCTCGGTGAGATATTTCAAAAACATGAAAAAATGAATAAAGTCAAATCATCTCATAAATAAAACCGAGTGGCACTTCACATTTGATGTTTTTATATTTTAATAATCATGTTTCTTAGTGTTTTTGTAACATCATATGTTTTTGAATGAAGGTTTATTGCATTATTTTAGTGTTGTGTGTTATGGTGTTTTGTCCATCTTCTATATATTAGTAATTACCACAGCTTGTGGAAAAGCAACTTGTGATGAACTTTAAAACCTGCGTTATTACAGTTATTCTCAGTATATGTTTAAGGTAATGCAGGTTTTAGTTGCAGTGTGACTTAGTGATTTCAGCAGAAAAGGGCTGTTGGATTTACCGATACAATTTTTTTGTTATATATTATATAAATAGAAAAAAAAAACGTAATGTACTTACCTGATAACAAGAAACATGATTAATAAAACGAAAAGTGTCACTCAGTCTTTCACTGTAAATAAGATGATTTGTTGGTTTTTCCCTTGATTTTCGTGTTTTTTGAAGGATATCTCACCAAGGATATTTGATGAAAAAAAAAAGACAGTAGAAATATTGTGGAAAAATTCTCAAAATAACCATATTTATATGGTTATTTTGAATCATTTTTTTCCATTTCATGTATATATATATATATATAAATACACACACACACACACTAAATGTGTTGCCATTTTTATTGTTTTAACAGAATTATTCTGTAAAAATGACATGATTTGTGTTTTATTTTTACACTGTGCCATTCGCCCATTTCTCCAACCCTGCAGTTGCAGTATCTGTTTTTCAGTTCCCATAGCAACCCGATGATGGTCTGTTTCACACAGACGCACTAAATGTTCGCAGGTGGAGTGAAGCAGTGGGAAGCGGCTTCTGTGTGTGACACGACACTAATGCACAGCCTGGCACAAGCTGTCGACAGGTGCTCGGACCGAAGCTTTCAGAGGCTTTTAGTGCAGAGCGACCAGCGCCTGAATGTTTGCACGGCTATTTTCAGTTATTGCAAAGGGACAAGAAGTCTTATTGTGCGCGCTAGTTGAACTGGCAGGACGTTAACAATCCACACAGGCATGTGGTAAATCTGCTCAAAACCGACCCCATTTACTCCCTAAATTAATGCATTTAGTCTCTTTGTGCAAGATTAGGATTTATTAGTGCATGACGAGAAATGCATTGCATGATATTTCATTAAAATGCAATGAAATCTAATATTTTAAATAATATAAGCCAATAATAAATACTAATGCAACGATCCATCCAATTAAATCCTAATGGATATTTTTTGTTATTAAACAGGCTTTATTATTTTCCATTGCAATATTTGTGTCACACTTGCAGATGCATCACGTAATGGAAGTTGAATGCGTTCTGCTGCGGTCTATTTTTGTCTAAACGCATTCTGCGGAAGATATTGTCATGGCAATACATTCCTATTAAACTATAATCCTGTTCACACCATTCATGATGTATTAAGATTCATTAACATGTAAAATGGTAACACTTTAAAATAGGATTCACTTCATTAATACATTGGGAATCATGAACCAACTATAAACATCAATATTTTACAGCATTTACAGAATCTAGGTGGATGTTAGTTGTTGTTATTATGAATGCAGTATTGTTCAATGTTTCTTTATAATGCATTAGTTAATGTAATTGTAACTTAAAATGTTAAATATGTCTATTTAGAATTAACCTTAACCTAGATTAATTAATGCTGCTAAATACAGGGTTATCAAAAAAAATTCCATTGCTCGAAATAAAATAAACATACATATATATATATATATATATATATTGTGTGTGTATATTAGGGCTGGGTAAAAAAATATCGATTTCTCGATATTAATCGATTCTCGTTAGTAAAACAGCTCATAAACAATGTCATGTAACATCACATTTACCTCAGAAAAACCATGTGACCATAAACTCGTTAATCAGCGAGAAAAATGTACTCTAAAGAGGAGCATTTTGCTAAATATATGCACCATATTACATATTCATTATAATTTTTAATGTTCTTCAATATTTAATGCATGTTTGAATAAATCTGGTTTTTATGACAGCCACCATTTAAATGTTTATATTTCAAAATAACTTTCTTATTATAAAAATAAATAAGTGTAATTTAAGTGTTTGTATCGCTACAAATCAGTAAATTTTTACCTTCAATATTATATTGCTCTCCTAGTAGGCTACAACTGACTCCCATAGTTTACAGCATTAGTTAAGAGATTTGTTTTCCTTGAGAAAATTTGCCATGTATTGTACCTGATATCCAAAATAATCAATATTGAATCGAATTGCAAGCTTGTGAATCGAAATCGAATCGAATTGTGAAATTTGTGTCAATACCCAGCCCTAGTATATATATATATATATATATATACACACACACACACATATATATATACAAGCGTTTTATTTCAGCTAGTCTCATTTAGTTTAATTAATTCAAAATATTTACTATAACAGTATATAATGAAACTAAAAAACTGGTTGTTTTACACGTAATATTTATTTAACAGTATTTATTGTTGTATGTGTTACCATTTTATTTTTTATCATTACGAATATTTTCCCCATTTGTCTTGTCACTAATTTCACCATGTGGCAAACAATAAAAGTAGTTTAATGGTGAACGTTAAAGTGTCACGAAACCCCTGTTTTAGCACTGGTCGCTTTGAAAAAGACTCAAGAAATTGGTGTGTAAAGCTGTGGAACGACTAATAAAACACAGACCTGCAACACACTCATTACACAGACATATGAATATTTAAATGTGAGCTGAGAAAGAAAAAAGCAACAGAGTTGAATTCACCTTGATACACTTTGAAAATATAAACCTGTGACAAACTAGTGTCCTGGGATTTCCAACTTCAATCCGATAAATATCGATATTCGATACCAAGGGGAAACTGCCATACAGATAATTTGTAAATATCTCATTATTTTTTGATAATTTGGGTAATTTTGTTGTAATAGGTTACAGACAAAACAGGGAAGCTTTATTTGAATCGTTGAACTACATTTACAAAAAAGACAGTAAAAAATAAGAAGAAATAAACAGATTCATAGCAAATAATAGCACAAATAAATACAACAGAATAAAGAGTCAAATGAAATAAACATGGCTTTAAGTAAGTGGGTCTAACAGAAGTAGAAATGCTACAGAAATGAAAGCAATCAAATGTATATTGACACTGGATCGTAAAAAAATGACTAAATACAGAATAATGCTTACTATTAACATTACAAAACAAGATTTCCTCTTTGTGTTTTGTTGTTTAATTAGCATTAATGACAGTCATCAGCAGGTTTATTAGGCTGCTGTCACTTTAAGAGCGTATGCACTGATACACAACATGTGTTCTCTCTTAACTATTTACATTAACCTTCCAAAACTGATCTGTATAC